TCGCCCTTGACATTTTTGAGAGGCTCTCCAGGGTCTTGTTCCTCTGTGCAGGACTTCAGGAGCTCACAAATGGCTCTGCAGTAGGTGGAGGGGGTGGGGTGTACTATGGAAAAGAGCACTAGCAAGACAGGGTGGGTGGAAGAAGAAAGGAAAGGGCTGGAGGAGTACTTCAAGTATTTTATTTTTTAAAAATTCCCAGTTAAAAACACAATGGCTGTGCCTTTCTGTGGGTAAGAGACAACCAGGGTAGCCCACAGGCTCTACTTCCCGAGTGGGCAGCTCTGAGGCTGTGGCCCTGCTGGGTAGCTAACACGGCACTGGGCTCCAGCTGGGGAGGGCTCACAGCTCTGAGCAGCTCCTCTCTTAAAATACATTTAAAAGCAGTTGTGAGAACAAACTGTGGTTAAAATAGGAAGGGGAAAGGAGCAAGGGAGGCTCTGCCAGCACTGGAAGGCTATGGCTGGAGGGCCCAGACTCCTGCCTGGGGGAGCCACAGTGCTTGTGGCATGCGGTAGCTTTTCTTCTTTAAAGAGAAAAAAAAAATTAACCAACCAACAGTACTTTCTTCAAAAGTTTCCCTGCAGCCACAAATTTCACCAGTTGTTCACATAAATATGCTGTCTTCCCCACAGGAAATGCTCTTGCCTGAGCCTTCCTTTTCTGCTAAACAATGTGCTTCAGATTCCCTGCAAATAAAAGGAAGCAAAAAAGGGTATTTCCACTGATATTTTAGCCTGATGGAGTGACCTGGCAAGGGGTGCCACTCCCACACCTGATGGACTAGACCAGGACATGGGAATTCCCGCCTCAGCACAGATCTCAGCTCCTGCTGACCCCTCGCTCCCTTTGCAGAGGCTGCTGCCCTCATTTGAGCCAGGCTTTGGAAATTACCACAAAGGGACCCTGCCAATGCTTTCACTATGCTGAATGCTGTTTTGGGATTTGTGGACCAGCATCAGAGACACACACGCTCACTCCCTGCTACCTCGTCCTTCTTTCAGGCTGGATTCACAGACAGGAGTGCACAGCCCTCCCTTCCAGCTCTGGAGTGATGCTGCTCCTCCTACCCTCTTGGACATGTCCCCAAGGAAAGGATGCCCTCTCCCTAGGATTGGCTGTGCTTGGGAATGGACACACGAAGGCATCCATGGCCATTGGACTTCCTACCCTACTTCTAACACCAGCAAACTACAACACACACAGACAGAAAAGGGCTGCCAAGCCCCATCATGCTGTTCTGAGCCCCTCTTGCAGAGAGGGACAAGACAGATGGGTAAGGGCATTGAATAAGTTTCAATGCTGGAGCTGGCAGAGCTCACCCAGCTGCCTGTCCTGGACTTGAAGAGTTTCAAGTCCTGCCTGCTGGAGACCTGTCGCAGTTCCAGAGAGCTATTTCCCACAGCCTCCTCCTGGACCAACTGAAAGACACAGACTGGATGGGTGGTCTGCAAAGGGGACAGGGAGGGAGCTGGCTCACAGGGAGCTCACAGGGCGTGGTGATCAATGGTTTTTACATGGTCTTGCAGCCTGTAACAAGTGGGGTCCCCCAAGGACTGATACCGATACATATTGCTCAACATCGTAAATTACCTTGGTTGGAAACAACCATAGCACCAAACTGGGTGCTGAGGGGAACAGGTCAGAAGGAAGAGCTATTTTAGAAAGCTGGACAGGCTGGAAGACTGGGCTAAAAATAACAGTTTTAAGTTTAACAAAGACATAAGCAAGGTCCTCCACTTGAGGTAGCCAGTTCAGGCTGGGATTTGTGTGACTGGGAAGCAGCTTTGTGGAAATGGATGTGGGGTTCCTGACAGGCAGCAAGCTGAATGGGATCCAGCAGTGTCCTGCTGCAGCAGTGAAGCAAACTGGATCCTGTGCAGCATGTGTAGGAGCATTACTAAGAAAAACTGGATCATCTCATGCCAGGTCTGTCTGACAAATGATGAGTATTGTGTCCAGTTATGATCCCCACAAATCACAAAAGACATGGACAGACAAAGGAGGATCACAAAGGTGATCAGATTCTGGAGAACCTGCCACTCTCTCCCTGCAGAAGAGAAGGCTTAGGAGGGACCTCATCACAGTAATCTAGTACTTGAAGCCTGCTCTGTAGGCTTCAGAGGACAGAAGCTCTCTCTTCACAAGGAGCCACATGGAGAGGACAAGGGACAACAGATGTGTGTTGCACCAGGAGAGGTGTCACCTTATTTTAAGTACTTTTTTTTTACAGTGAGAACAATCAATCACTGGAGGAAACTCCCCAGGGATGGGGTAGCAGCCTCACTGTCAGAAGTTTTCAGGATGTGACTTGCTAGATAATCTTGTCTATGCTCCCTTTCCCATGAAAAGTTTGGAGCAGATGATTTTTGAAGTCCCTTAGAACCTGGGCTGTTCTATGATTCCAAAAAGGACAAGGCCCCATGCTCCCTGTCCAGCCAGAGCAAAGGCAATGGCAACTTTTGCTACAGGAACCCATAACTCTGTACCACCAACCCTGAAAATCCCAAGGGATGTGGGAGGCAAATGACACTGTGTACTAATGAGCAGCCAAGTGAATGTGGTTCATCTTTCCAGTCAGTGAGAAAGACTCCAATGAGCTCTTCTGAAGCCCTCTCTAACAAATCCTGTAAGCCTGAAGCAGAAGTTTTTGCTTGGACAACGCACCTTTGATAGAGTTCAGAATTTCTTGAATTCTCTGTGGCTCATTGCGGTCTGGTCTGCAGCTTGGTGTGATCTCCAGCACGTAATCAGGACCATACTCTGTGAAGAACTGCAGGGAGGAGAAGAGGAAAATTAACAGAGAGGTCTCTGAAGGCCGAGGCTAGAGAGAGGGCTCCCCGTGGGTACCTGTTTGTAAAAAGGCACAAAAACCATTTCTCTACCTAAGGGCCACATGTAGCTTCACTACATCAAGGTGGTACTTCAGCAGTGTCTGTGTCCACCTGGAGATTTCAACCGCTTCCCAGTTCAAGGGATGAGAAGCAGAGCCCAGTGAAGCAACCAAAAAGCAGTCAAATGTCTATCCCAATGCTTTATTTGGGAAAGCTGTTGACACTCATGGTTACCCGCAAATGAAATTTTTTTATTATTAAATTTCAAGTGCTGTAATCACATATCCTACCATTCACTTCCCATCTTGCTCAACGCTGCATTGACATGACTGTGAAACACCTGGGAAAGGAAAAATCAGTGTGCTGCAAGGATACTGTGTCTCTCCTGGCTAAGTGCTCAGATAGCGTGCAGGAAATCTGCTGCACATGGGGTTGACATGCTAACGCAGAATCACAGGTTACTGTGAGCCATTGTGTCATGATTCTGGCCAAGACAGGGTCAGTTTTTAGAGTAGCTGGGAGGAGGCATGGCCAGAACACAGAGATTATTCTACACCACCTCTCATCATTGCTGAGGGCAGGAGAAAGGGACTCTCTTCCAGACAGAAGGGATTCTTACCAGCTGAAATAATGTGGCAGAGGGAGCTATGCAGTTTGTCTATTGTCAGGGAGCAGGGGTGTTTCTATGTGAATTGTTGTTTGTTTTCTTGTTCCTTCTAGCATTAGTATTATTGCTGTTACTGTTTAGTAAATTGTTCATGCTCTTAGGAGGAGCACTAAATTGGAAAATACCATTCCTAAGACAACCTTAATTGGTGCCCAGTATGGGCACAAAGGGTTGAGACAACAACACATCTGCCCAGAGTGGGTTGGAAACAAATTTGATTCTAAGCATTTGTTCACATTAGGTACAGAACCACTGGTCACAATGCTGCTTGTGGTCACAGTGCTGCTTGGTCTGTTTATGTGGGTGTGGTACATATGTGTGAGCATATATGTGTTCCTTGTGATGATATTTTTCAGAGCATGGAGTGGGATCAGGATTGTTTTGTTGCTGTACTCTGTGATATCAGTTTATGAAATGATAACAATGGCAATGAGGGTCACTTGGGATGTGTATTCAGTGTTCCTCTCCTACCCTTACCTCCAGCACTACCTTTGTTAGTCCATTAATAATAGTACTCAGCCTGAGGGGGAAACACTAGAGGATGATTTTCCCCAGCTTGTCACCCCCTCTTCCTCCTTCAGGCCTGTTACAACAGCTTTCGAGAATTTTGAATTCCCTTTGGATGTTACAGAAAGCATGTTCTTGTTGCTATGGTTGCTATGTCTCTTATGTGTGTCTCCTCAGTACAGCTGATAACATATTTAGAGTCAGTGGAGTCCACACCATGTTTAGAGTCAGGAGAGAGATTTCTAGGAAGGTCATTCAGAGATCTGCCCCAAGGGTGGATAGTCATGAGTGGCACAGGAAGTGGGAGAAAATGGGTGAATTTCTGGGGAAATTCTCTGCTCCAGTGGTTTGGAAGTTCATCCCTGTACAACTACAGGACCCTGATAGAGTGACAGAATATTTGCAAGGTAGGTTCTGTGTCAACTCCAGAGAGGAGCAACTTATTGGAATGTGCTGGGCCCTGGCTACTCTTTACCAGACACTGCTGGTCACCAGACAGAACACTCGGGGGAGGAGGAGGAAAGCAGAGCAACAGGCACTGTGGTCACTCAAACTTCAGCTGAAAAGAAAAAAATTAAAACCTTGAGAAGGCAAAAGGCACATCCTAAAGAGCTCTTTGAGCAAACCACGGAATCCTTTTGCCCATCCTCTCTGTTACTATCTGAGACTGGAGTTTACTGGCACATGAAACCCCTCACAGAAAGCTGCAGACAGCCTCTGTTTTAGAGCACAAGCACCCACCATACTGCTAGGTTAGGGCAGCATTGGTACGTAAGTGTCTTCACAAAACAGGACTGAGCGGCAAGGATGCTGTGTGGCTTAGGGAGAACAACTGGCTCTTCTGCAAGGAGAAGGGAGGGTTTTTCACAGCATTACCTCATGATCAGGGATCTCTGAGGACAGTGTTCTCCCAAGGATGACCCCAGTCAAGTATGTCCAGCAGCGAGCAGTGTTGGCAAGGTTGTAACCTCCTGTTTCCAGCAAGAATTGGGATTTGAGGAGGAAGAGTGGGGAAAGGCAAAAGAGAAAAAGAGATTTAGGTGGAAGAAACAAATAATGAAACCACTGTGCACAGGTTACACTAGTTCAGCTTATTTCATCCACTCAAGCCATGCCCAAAATCTGCCTTCTGCACCTGCTGGCTACACAAAGCCAAGTTTGAATGACAGTGTATGCAAGAGCAGACCACTCAAACTGAACCCCAGTTACATCCAGTGGCAGAGGCCAGTCCTCCAGCCACCATCTCAGACCCAGGATGAGCTCCCAAGCCCCATGTGCTGAACTCTCTCCCGGCAACAAGAAGAGCCATTCTCAAGTAGCAGGCCACAGCAGAAATGGGGCTTCCTGCTTTTTAATACCAGCCTTTAAAGGACCTATAAAGCAAAATACACATGCCCAGCCATACGCTGGTGAGCTCTTCAGCACCGTCATCTTTGAGAGGACAAATATGAAACTCATTGCTACAACTTGCAACTGCTTTACACAGAAATGAGATTTCACAGTGAGCAGGAAATGGTTACCTACATGGTAAAGGAACATGAGCCCATAAGGAGAAATCTTAGCTGAAAGCAATCCTGCAAGAGACTCAAGTATGTTTTTTTTCCAGAATAGATGACTAGAAGAGTAAAGGGAGAAAAGCACTTTGACAAGACAGACCATATTTTTCCAATATTCCCTTCTGTTTGCAGTGGAGTTTTTTCCCCTGCTTTTTTTTTACTCCTCCCCCAATTTCGACTTCAAATGCTTCCACATGCTGCAGTGGTGGGACACTCCTTTGCTATTTTCACAAGTGACACATAGTTGATCCTCATTTTTTAACAGAAGTTTTGGGTTTTGTTTGAAAGATGACATCTCCAGCACACTCACAGACAAGCCACAGCAGGACTAATCACTCATAACCTTTCCAAAACAAAGGGCATCAGGCACATCAAATTTTAGCCTTAATATCCTATACATTATTTCCCCCATCTAAAAAAGGACAACACCTAGAGCTGATCCGGCTCCAGTCATGGAGCTCAGGGGCTTTCCCTGGCCCACAGGGGCTTTTGTTGCTCTGAAATGCTCTGTTAACATAAAACCTGTCCTGTGCTCTCCCCATTGGGCAAGCAGCTGGCTAAGCAACACAACAGACCTAAGTCCAGCTTAACTTTCACTGGGTATCAGAGTCCTGCTGTACCTTGCAGGCAGTCAGGCCTCGTCCCAAGCCCCTGCTTGAATCTGAATGAAACCATTCATCACCAGGTGCCCAAGGTAGGTTTGGGAACATAGTGCTCACTTTTTAAAGAGAAGCACTGAAGGGCTGATCAGCAGAGATGGGAATCAGAGGTGTCACTGAGAAGTCAGGGTCAGTTTGTTGGCCTCTCATCTTCTCCAGAGGAGCCATGCAGCTTTTAACTCAAGATCTGAGTCAGTACTGAGACTTGCACCTGTCAGTATCAAGGATTTCAGGTGTGAGAAAAGAGTACTATGCCACAGTGCGTCCTCTGACAATGCCCAGCAGTCACTCTGCTAAACCCTTGCCAGTCCTGAGCCCAAGGGCAGACAGGCACTCGAGGCAGGGTCACAGGAGGACAAACACATTTCTCTGAGAACAGCAGGATGCACTCACCTCCTCCCAGGACAAGAGTTGCTAGCTGCCACTGCAGGACATACTTGAGGCACTTCCCCACTCCCTCGGGTGTCATGTTGAAAGAGCACATGGGGTCTCCAGCAATGGTGTCCGCCCCCAGCTGCAGCACAACTGCATCGGGGTTGAAGGCAGCATACACCTCCTTCAGCACTCTAGAGAGAAGAGAAGCAGTCCAGTTACTGCCAGCATGGCCCAGAGGAATGCTGGTGGCATGGCCCTGGTTGCTCAGATCCACCAATGCCTCTCAGGGTTTCTGCATCCTCTGCTTACACCCAGCTCCTACCAGTTACACTGCCTCTGCTCCCAGGCTCTGCTCTGAGCCTTCTACCTCCACAGCAATTTTAGCTGTCAGAGCACTTATCAAAAGGCTGATGAATGCAAAAGCACCACTGATAACATGGCAGAGGGGGATCTAGTTCTCACCAGTTCAGTGGTAGCATCAAACTCTACATTTACACTGTCTGCCTTTTGGCTGCAGGATGATCCAGGTGCTTTTCTGCCCTGTGAAAGTCACGGTGGAAATCAGGGTCTGGCAAAACAACAATCCTGAACTCTCAGACACCTCTCACCAGGACAGGCCAGCAGAGGACAGGAGAAACAGAGGAAGACTGGCTAGGGTCTTACTTTCCCTCTCTCCTGTATGGCTCTTGAGGCAAAACTGTGAGGAAAAGCTCTGTGCAGGGTGTAGTCAGCCTGCAAAAACCAGCACTGGACAGAGACTCATGCTTCAAGCCCATCGTGGTTTTGGGAAGTACAGGCAATTACCCTCAAAAAAAAGCTGGATGAGACATCCACAGTCATGCCCGTGGACTGCTTCCCAGCCAAGACAGAACTCAAAGAGATCTCTAAGTCTCTTTGCAGAAGCTTTAGCTATACACAGCTTGAAATCTGTGGTAGGTTATGATGTCCTTCAGCTGTGAATGCATGCAGCAGGCTCCTCCTGAGTGGGTTTCTGACCCTAGAGCTGCCTTTTGAAAGCATGTCCTCCAGCACAAAGGGGGCTGCTGTACCCCAGCAATGGCAAGCACCAATAAGTAAGCAGGAGGCATGGCCCCTGCATGACTGCCCTACTGGCCTACAAGTTTAGAGAGGTTTCTGCCCTCAAGTGTTAGAGGTGGACGTGCTACTACATCCTGCAGCCTTGCACTGAGACTCCTCCCCCCGGAAAAGAACAAGCCCCACAGCCCAGTTTTGACATGGGCAACAGCTTGTGAGGTCTACCATCAGCTGAGGGACACATGGGACTGCCAGGAGGCAGCTCTGTCACTGTCAGATATTCAGCCTTCAGCCGTTCATTCTTCCAGCACAGACAGAAGGTGCTAGGAAAATGCTTTTAGCTAAGCCCCAAGAATATGTCCCACAGTCAGAATTCGGAGCATTTACTTGAAGAAAAAACATCTAGCCCGAAGCCCACAGCTAAAAAATACTTGTCGCTTCTCAGTCTCTCCTTAGAGAGACACCTGTGGAGGTGTATCTAAGGAGATAGGCTGACCTGCGGCAGAGACCCCTCCAGCCACCCACAATGTCTCTGTATATTCAATTTGCCTAAGGATTCACACAAGACCTCTGAGAACTTACAGTCCATGTTCACTGTAATCAAAGGCTGCAACAGGGGAAGGGACAAGCCTTAAGAAAGGACTGTAATTAAAAATACTAAACTGCATAGTATCTTATTCTCTAAAATCCCATCCAAGTCAGCTGTATCAGAGCAAAAGGGCTTACGATTCACAGATCTGGTAATATTTTTCATCCTGAATGCCATCTTGAATGGGCACATTCACACTGTAATAGCGACCTTTTCCCAGGCCAACATCTGTCACATCACCAGTGCCTGCACAACAGAAACACCCCAATTAGAAGGGAAAGCAGAGCAGCAGCAAGAGACGCGTGGGGTGTCTCAAAGGCAAGACGAGAGCCAGGACGTTCGGCATGCGTATGAAGAAGTCCACTTGCCACCACGAAGAAAGGTGGGGTGGAGTGACCCAGTTCTATCCTTCACCCAATTCTGCCATGCAGCATCAAAGGAACTATGCCTAGACCTCAGCTACAACCAGAAAGAGGGAAATGCCAAACATGTAGCTCTCCCTCTTTCCTTCCCCTGGGTCATGAGAAGAGACAGCAAGATATGTCAGCTGGACATCACAGATGGGACTTGCCTTTATGGAGGCCTCACCAGTGACATGTGAACCAAATGAGCACAAACCTCACAAGTTCAACTTGCCTGGGAAAAATCCTGGTGAAAATTTGTGCAGAGAAACAGTCAAGACTTTCGAGGTGAAACTAAAGGCATCCTCAACTCCTATTAAGAAATTGAAAAAAAAAAAAATTCATGCATCATTTATATAAATGACAGTCTGAACACACAGAGTTGCCTGATACACACAGAGCAGCAGAGAAGGAGAACCATAAGCAAAGCAGAAATGCAGATGTGGCTCAATAAATACATCCTCAATCTACAGAGACTGAAGTTCAACTGCAGCAAAGATCACAAGTGCTATGAATCTGGCAGGTCTCTTGCTAGTTCAGAATGGATCTGAGTATCTCATGTCACTAGCCATGGCAGCAGCACTTGACTGTGCTGCTAGGCCTGCGAAGCTGGGAGAGGGATCCGAGCAGGACTCACTTGGCCAGAGCTTGGCTCTGATCAGAACCAATGCTACTGGGCTCTCTCACTTTTTCTCAATGCTGCTGTGGTTCAACATGCCTTTTCCTTAAAGACACTATTAAGACAGCGGGCATGGAGAGGGAAAAAAGAAGTAATAGGAAACTTAACAGAAACCAAATGCAGGGAGAAAACAGAACAAAATGAAACACATAATAAAATTTAGAAGAGCAGGAAATGTTAAATGGTGTAGAAATAATGTCCCTGAAGGAGGGAGCAGTTTTAGCAAGGCCAGCTCTGCCTCTAGACTTACAGCATAAAGCCTTCTTTTAAAAGGACCCTTTACTACTGGCTGCTTCCCTCTTGTAATGGACCCTTAAACAATTAAATCCTGTCAGCAACTGTGCTGGCAGGATGGGATACTGAGACACATTATCTGTTGCTTTAGGTACAAGACTTCTGCCTAGACCCACAAGAGAAGTCTGAGGAGCAGCATAGGGCAAGTCTGTAAAGCAGGACAAGGCATAAATGGATTGAGGGAACTCAACAGCACCAAAAAGAGCCAAAGCCATGGCTGTTGCAGCAACTAAATCCCTGCTGTGCAGACAGGCCTTGCCTTCTCCCATTCCCCCCTGAGTCTGTGCAGCTGTGCTGTTTGCAGCCTTTGCTGGGCCTTACCATCCCCATGATGCAAATCCAAATCGATATAAAGGACGCGGTCAAATTTCTGGCGCAGTCGCAGGATCCCCAAAACAGCGTCATTCACATAACAGAAACCAGAAGCTTCATCCCTGTGAAAACAATGTCTGTGACATTGAATATTGCCAATGCAATCACCACCGATTTCAGCATTCTCATTTTGACTTTGCAAGTGTCCAACTCACAGGGGCACAGAGGAGTATGAAAACTCAGCCCAGCAGTGACCAAGAGACGGGTCAGGAACAGCTCAAAGCATGGCTGGGAAGCACAGAGAACAGGACTGTTTGTGCCAACTGCTTCTCAACTCTGGGCTTTCTGGCAGCTGGGTAAGCATCAGTTGGCTCTGCTGCAGAGACCCTGGTCTGAGGAGGTTACCTCTGACCATTGCACTGTTGAACAAATAAAATGTTAGCTTTCTGCACCTGAGACATTTTAAAGAAGTTCAGAGCCACTTGACTCAAACCCACTCTCTTGGAGGCAAGAGGGCAGTCCCCTCGGCCATCTTCCTGTGAGTTCTGGATAGGCATAGACAGGCAGCCACTCCATCCCTGGTGTCTGGGTCACAACTCCTGGGAAGGTCCTGGCAGTGAAAGCCAGTCACAGGATTGTCCTTCTGTTTTAAAGTCTCAGGCTATGAAGGTTAAGCCTCTTGCCAAAGTAACTCCCTCCTTTCTCTTCCCAGGAAAATGCAAATGGGATGTTCCACATGCAGTCCCTTACGATACAGCTCCTGGGCTCAGCCAGGAGAGAGTCCCAGCAGCTAAAGAGAGGACAGGTGTACCATGTAAAGATTTATCACTGACATTCATCAGGGACAGCTTACTTGCTGGCATCAAAGGAACAAGAAAGTTTCTTGACCCCTACTCCAGCCTCACTCCAAAGTCAAGCCCCCATCACCACTTAGCACCAGTCCACACGCATTAAATCTGCCCTGGACAGCTATTTTAAAGCAAGGCTTCATACATGGCAACAGGAGTACCCAAATCCCTCTTCCACAAATTATATCGGGATACAAGATGCACCTCTGGGAAATTCCTCTTGACTTCCAGTCACAGCACCCAGCTCATTCTCTCTGACATTTCCTGCTCAGCAACAGCTGGGACCAATGAGGAGCAAGCCAGGAATGGCAGAACCTCACTCGCTCTCACACTCTGCAAGTGCCATGGAGCACAGGTGTTTCCCAGTGACTCTGTTCATTTACAGTAATGCTGAAAATGGAGATGTTAACAGGTATCCTGAAAATCTGACTCAACTGTGATTATGTACTTCTCCCCTCCCTCACAGCCCACAAGGAAGCATGTCTTGGGCACTCTCTGAATGCTGTAATACCAATCTCTGAAACTCAAGGCCAAGCAGAGCAGGACACCAGTTCAGCCAAAGGCAGAGCAGTGTCAGAGCTGCAGTTCAAGACCAGCACTTGGGATTCCCCCATGCTGCCCCAAATCCACCCAGCAAAGCTCTGAGTATCACTGCCAGAAAGGAGGGTGAGACTGCCTTGAGAAAAGGCACTTACTCAGCAACTTACCCTCAACCCCAAAGGCATCCTCTGAACCAAGAGCTTTCAAAGCCCCAGGTCATTCCTACCTTCAGGACCCTGGAAAGCAACTAAGCTACCAGGTAGCAGGTGTTTTTTGACAAAAGGAATGTATTTTGCTAGGACACAGGTCCTAGAATCAAGCACCTGCAGTTTGGAGTCAGTCTGGCTAGACCTTCACACTGGGCTGGTATCTACCCTGAAGCATCACACACCAACTTACTGGGGTGACTGGGAAGACTCCTTTGGGATTGGTGGCTATTAAATGCCTATTTTTTAAACAAACTCTCTGCTTCTCAGAACAGTGCTAATAGCTCAGCAGCAGCAACACTGCTAAGACTTTTTTCATTACAGGCATTTTTTAAACCATACAATCCAGACAGAATATAACAGAAGATTTCCCAAAAGCCATCAGTTCTGCACAGAGTGAGAGCTCAGCTCTGCTGAGTGCAAGTCTCCTTTCACAGCAAGCTGCAGCTGAAGTCATTTTCAGCCAAGTGCCCACCAGGAAACAGGCTGAGATGTTGTGTGAGTACACCTGCCCCAGACCTGCTCTGCAGCACATGACAGTGACAGCACCAGCACTGGGCAGTGACCTGCCTCCTCTCAGGCCTCTGCCCTGCCCTCTGTTTCCTTCCTCTCTATCTCCTGCCTTCCTTCACACCTTGCATTCTCTTCCAACTAGATCATTGCACCCTGATGGTTCTCAGGGAAGCTGGGAGCTAGGAAGCAGGGTTCAGACATCAGATGAGAAAACACAAGGGAAGACATTGTTTTCTTACTTCTTTGCATGATGCCACCCTCCAGGCCAGTTAATTGCTACTTTGCACTTGCCATCCAGCAGGCACTGAGCTGCAGTGATGGTGGCTCCTCCCACAGCCGCTGCATACTCAAAGATCCCTTCAGTGGCTGGACAGTCGTAACCTGCAGGTGAGAGTCCACGTAAGAGTCTGCACCTTAGACACAACAGGCCTTTTCCTCCAGAGGAAGCACATTCCTTTTGTTTGAGTCTTCAAGACTGGCCCGGGCTGGAGCAGCCCGTTCCTGAAGAACTGACCCCATGGAGAACCCATACTGGAGAAGTTCTTGAAAGGAAAGACTAGCGCTGGAAAACTTCATGGAAGAGAGTGTCCTGCAGGAGGGACCCCACATATACACTGAGCAAGAGTGAGGAGGAAAGAACAGCAGAGAGGTGTGAACTGACCACAGCCTCCATTCCTTGTCCCTTTACACTGCTTGAGGGGAAAAGTAGAAGAGCTGTGAGTGAAGCTGAGTCTGGGAAAAAAGGTGGACGAGGGGGGTGGTGATTTCAGTTTTATTTTGAATTCTCACTATCCTACTCCATTATTAATTGGCAATAAATTGAATTAATTTCCCCATGTAGAGTCTCTTTTGCAGTAACTGGAGTACTGGAGACTCATCTCCCTGTTATTATCTCAACATGATCTTTTCCACTATGTTTTCTCCCCCACCCTACTGAGGGGAAGAGAGACTGTATCTTGGTGAGCACCTAGCAAAAAAACCCCACCCACACCACAAAAATCAACCCACCACACAAAGCAACAATCCAAATGTTTTCTTGCACTTAGTTCGTTTAAAAATGTGTCCTGAATCAACTTCTGAGTTGTGTGCCTGGGTTGCTGAACCTACTGATTCCTCACACCAATCTCGCAAAAAAACTACTTTCAAGTCTCTGTCTACCTGACCAGAAAAGCCCTGGCATGGTTACGATGTACCTCTTCCCTAAAAATGGACATTCACAAACTAGCCAAGCCTAGACAAGCTGTAGGTCTATGTCTATAATACGATCTTCACTTAGTCGTACAGCAGCCTCCCCGCAGCTGTTGCCCACAAAGCATACCAGGGCTGCTTGTCTTCCTGTAGACAGAGCAGCTTCAGGAACATAAAGTCTAAGGCACACTCATGAGAGTGGCACAGAATCTGCACCTCTGCCTCAGTTCTGGGTCACTCTTCCCATTCCTGATACCAACAGTGCCCACAGCCATCTCACCTGCTTTACCTGCTGCATTTCTCAAGCTGCTCCACACGTAAGTCACCAGACTGCCCTGCAGCTGCTCTGGTCACTACAGCTCCAGACCACTGTTCATACATGCCCTCCCCACAGCAGGCTTGCAGCAGCCAGTCCCAGCTCCAGCCCGAGGGCAGTGTCAGGGTCTTCCATCCCATTCCAGAGCCTCAGAGCAGCAGCAAAGGGCACCAGCCCCAGTCGGCAAGAGACAGGCCAAGCTACACAGAGCAGCAAAGTGAGGCTAGCTCTACCCTCAGCTGGCACCAGGGAAAGTGCCAGCCTGTCAGATGACTGCTGGGGTTCAGCAACACCCCGTTAAAGAGTGTTTCCTTTCAAAACTAAGCCCAGCATCCCCCTGAGCTCACCCCCCTAACTGCAGCTCCAGCAAAAAGCATCCTGGCCCTGGCACTCAACTAATCTCTTGTTGAAGATGTGCATCCTTACCCAGTCCATACTCCACAGACTCCGGGTGGTCATCATCCCCCTCCTCACTGACCTTCTGCAGGTGCTGCAGGTAAGCATCTGTGTGGAAACTCGCCATTTCCTCCATGGAGGCCACTTTTGGCTTGACTATCCTAAGCAGAGAGGAGGAAGGGAGCACATCAGGGCAAGAGGATCCAGTGTTCAGCTGGAATGTCCAGCTTTAACCTTTACATTAAGAGCCTTCTTTTGGCTATTACTGTTGTAAAAGCAAACAAAACTCCCTCTTCCTCTTGCACTGGACTGTCACTCAAGTTAGAAAGCCACCCAGCTGAGCGGGAACAGGCCTTGCCCCTGGTTTGGCACTACCTGTGGTGCCCACCCCAGTGAAGAACACCTGCAGGCGCTGCCTGCATTAACCTTCCCATTTTGCTTCAAGTTTTTTTCCCCTGTTCTGCTTGTTCTCTCTGTTTGTGCATTCCCCACCATATCCAACATTCAGGTTACACAGAGGAACTAAATGCTGTGGAAATGCTGTGGCAGGACCTCAGTCTAGATCAGGAGCCATGTAATGCCACTTGCATGCTACGACCTGCGCCAAAGCAGAGACTGCCACTGTTCCAAGCAACTTGCACAGCACCTTCCTGGGTCTGGGTGCTTTGCAGTATGCCTAAACAAATCCTGCAACACACTGAACCCTCCCCAACACTTGGGCAGTGGAGCATGAACAGGCAATGCAGCACAGCTCTGCTGCTACAGGAAGAACACAGGAAGCTCCCAGCTCCAGGCTGGCCGTGATGCTTCCCACCACATGCGAGGGCAAACTGTTCTTCAGGTCTGCTCTATAATGATACCTGCAGTCATTTCCCAAGCACACTCTACCAGGAAAAAAAAAAAAAAAAAAAAACTGTTTAAAAAAGAAGTCTCAAAAAAATCTTCTGGCTGTGCTGGAGTAGATTTTTTCTAAGATGAGACGCTTCACAAGAGGGGCTGAGCCATGCCTTTCTTATTTTTCCCTTCATATGCCCCAGCGTCAAGAGCCAAATGAGGCAGGCGGTACTCTCCTGAACAGCATACAAACCTCACAAAAAGTCTCACAGATATATTACAATGCACCAAAATAATATCCCTCTCTGCATCAGCACTGACTGATCAGTGGATCTGGAGCAGCACCAAGGCTGTTACCCTACTCAGAGTCTCAAGCATGGGGGTGATACACACTCTGTAGAGAAGGCACAAGGCTGTAAGCGCTCCACCAGACCAGGAGGGTAACCATGAATTACACCGGCCACAATTACTGCAATCGTGTCCATGTAGCAAAACAAACATTTTCCTTTAATCCTGGAAATACGCACTGTGGGGGCTCCTATAATCACACCACCAGCAGGGACAGTATGAAACCTGAAGTTACTCAGCACCTTCCAAACCTTAGTGGAGACTAAAACATTCCTTCACAGAAAACGGGAGCACTTACTTCATCTGGCCAAGCAAGGAATACGCTTCAATCAGTGAATGCACCATGCTGGCCTAAAGAAAAGAGTAAGACTGTGAGACCAGGAGACACAAAGCCAGCAACCAGGGGCGCAAGGACTCGCAGACGAGGTGTGGCTCAGGCTGCTCCCAGCAGCGACTTTCCCGGCCCGGGTCCCTTCTCCGGCCCGTGCCCATGCCGTGCCAAAGGGCCTTCCGGTGTCCCGGGCAGAAGCGGAGCCGCGCACGGCTTCCCGGGAGAGGGGAACGTCACATCGACGTCCGAGCCCGCGGTGCCAGGGGCGATGTGAACGCACAGACAAGCCATTCCCGCTCTAACCCTGCACTCCTCTCGCCGGGGCCGCCCGTTTCCCCCGCTTCCTCCTTTCCTACTGCCGTGCCGGGCGCCGGCTGCCTCCGCGCCCGGGCCTCACCGCTGTGCTCCCCGCGCCCCCTCGCCCCCGCCGCGGCGCTGACCCGCTTGGGCACTTTGCAGAGGGAGTCGCAGAGGGTCACGTACTCCGGGCTGTATACGTAGACCGGCGGCGGCACCGCCGCCATCGGAGCTGGCACAGCCGCGACCAGCACCCGCAACGCCGCTAGTCAGGGCACGCCAGGACCGGCAGTTCCGGCCCCGCGGCGTGCCGGGAGCTGTAGGCCCACCCCGCCATTGTCCTTCCCCTAGCTCGGCCCCGTAAGAACAGGCAGCCAACTGGTGCTAAGAGGCATTTTTACTCGGGCCCCCACGCAGCTCGGGTGGTGTTTATTCTCCAAGAATGTAATTTAAAAAGGCCCGTGGCCTGCACGCAGCCCCCCACGCGGCGCCCGCCCAGTTCAAAGAGCCGCAGCTCAGCAGGTGCCCGGTTCCCCCCGACACCCGGCAGCTCCCACCGGGTCCCAGGGGCTCGGTTCCCTTAAGGCTCCCCTGACGGGAGCAGGGATCACAAAGGGAGGGATTAGCTATGGTAGGAAAGATGTGTGCTAATGTCTTTACAAACAATTCTAAGGGTGAGGGTATGGGTGTTAACGTCCTAGAAATGGATCTTAATGTTTCTACCCACTTCAAGCCACAGGTTACAAAACCGAGACAGTTTGATTCCTGAAACAGACAAATGGGTCCACACAAGCCTGAGTTTCTGAACTTTGGGAGAAAATGACAGGCTCAAGGGGAGAATACGTGGTAGACCGTTTGGGAAGGCTGTACCTTCCCAGTATCTCAGCCAATGGGCTAAGGAAGAGGCAACATGTGGCCGGGAGTTTAGGATAAAAGGACGCTGCACTTTCTGAAACTAGAGAGAGAACATCCCACAGGCTGATGTCCCAGTGGACTCTCCCCCTTTATTTGAATTAAGTTGCAGGACTTCTCTGTCTCCTTTATGGACACTGGCTTTTCATAGCATGATCTTCCATGCAGCCACGTGTACAGAAGAGCTGCTGCCCCAAGAGACCACCTGGCTTTGAGGCCAAACCAACCTGGACATCAAAAAACACAGGCACGCACAGAGGAAAGCATCTGGCTTTGGAGCCAGCCGTATCCACAGAGGAAAGGCCAACTTCTGCCTGGCAGCCACCCCTGTGCTCACACAGAGCCAGCCCAGGGTGCACCACAGGCTACATGGGCTGAGGGTGGTGTTGGCACATGGCATGGGCACTGTCACCCTGCCAGCTCAAGAGACAAGTTCAGCTGCTGTCCATCACCCTCTCAGAAGGAGCTCAGACTGTGACACCTATCTGGCAGAAACCACATCTTCTGTGCTTCCTAGAGTAGATGTGGCTCCTCAGACAGAGCTCCCATAAAAACACAGCCATCCAGGCCTCTGGGTGCAGGGACTGCCAGAGCCTTTCACTGGGAAGCATGGCAGAGAACAGCTGTGTTTGGTGTGGCCAAGATCTGCCCACCCTCAGGGCTCAGCTATGAGAGGATGTTGAAAGATTAAGGGGCATAAGGGAGTCTGAGAAAGACTCATAGAACCAGGCTCTGCCCTGCCTGACAGGAACAGCCTCCCCAGAATACCCAGGGGATCCTGCATCCTCCCTTGCCAAGGGAAGCCAGTAAAAGGAGTGGGTGGAGGCAAACCCCTCCTTGCCCACCTTGCTTTCCCACATGCCTCTGTGCAGCAGGTATGAAGCTCTCACGTGGAAGGCCAGGCAATGGATGATGTGGATGTTAGTCCACCTAAACCAGAGGTGTTGCCATGGCTGTGACACCCCCAGACCATGTCCACCTCTACAAGACAGATGGGTTACAGTTGTAGGTGACTCCTTTCTGAGGGTCCAATGTACCACACAGACAGTCCTCTTAGTGAAGTCTGCTGCCTTCCTGGGGTTAAGGTTAAGCACAGGTTAAGCACAGCACTAGGACACTTCCCAGCCAGGTTCAGCTTCAGACTGTTATCCACTGCTGCTTTTCCATGTGGGTGGCAATGAAACTGCAACACAGTCCAAGGGCAATCACAGGAGACTTCAGGGCCTGGGGATGGTTGGTAAGGGATTCTGGAAGACAGTTTCTTTCCTCTGTCCTTCCAGTTGTGGTCAGGGACATTGAAAGAGATGGACTCAGTCTGCTGAATATACGGCTTGGTGGCTGATGTCACTGCCACAATTTCAGATTTTTTAATACTTTTTTTAACAAAGCTGCTGCTGTTAGATGGGATCAACCTTTCCCAAAGGGAAAGAGGATCTTTGCTCAGAGCTTTGCTCACGGACTGCTGTAAACCAGTCTTGGAGGGGAACATAGATGATATCGGGCTGGCCTGTGACAAGCTGTGGGACATTGCAAGGTCAGAGGGTGCAAGTGAGGGTTCTTGGCCTGTTGCCCAACGTGCTGAGTGTACTGGAGCACACCTAAAGTCTTAGGGAAGTGAACCAGGGAGCCAAAAGGGAACCCCACTTCCTCCACCACTTTGTTCCATATGTGCCTGATCCTCATCAGTCCAACTGCACCATCCTGAGTGGGGGCTGACCTGCATGGTAGATTAGAGCAGGGATCTGCTATGTCCCCATCCTTCTCAGTGCCAGGCTGTGGGAATTGAGCAGAAGTCAGAGATGAGCATTAAAAGCATGGTTTTGATTGCACAGGTGACACCAAGTAGCCAGCTCAGAGCTGCTTCACAGGGCATGAGAACTCAGGAACCTGTCTCTTGGCCACTAGCACCACTGCCAGGGATAGAGTAGATGACACATAGGGGCTGCCACTGGCATGTCCCAGCCAGCCAGAAGCCCTGTACTAGCAGCTTGGAGATAAAAGGGATCCTGCCTAACATAACTTCCCCAGCTCTGCACACAGGATACCCAGCAGGGGTGATGGGCTGCCTGCTTCCAAGCAGCACAGCTGTGGCTGGGCTGGACCATATTGATTTTGGATGTGCTGGGAGAAAGGCTCAGGCACCATACCCTATTCCTCTAGCAAAACTTTTCCATCAGCAGAAGGAAAAGCAAGAGCCTCAGCCTGCACTAGCATAAATCCTGCAGATTTGGAATAATAAGCAGCACAGAAGAGGTTAAAAACTGTAAACCTGCTGGGGGCAGGGAGAGTGTGAGCTGGTCAGAGAGCATTGTAATGCTGAGCACACAGGTCTGGTCAGGGAAACCCTTTCCAACTCCCTCAAACAGACATTTTTCCAGGGGTGATGAATCAGGAGTCATGGAGACAGAACCTTCTAACACAAGCACGCTTCAAAGCTCAGCCTTTCCCTTGCTCCACAGGCCACACAGGCACAGGTCAGTTTAGGACACATGCCTCCTGTGGAGTTCCTCAGAGGGCTGCTCCCCCACCAAGAGGCCAGGGCTAGGAGGAGAGATGGCCACACAGACTGCCTTGCGAACTAACCTAGTGTTCATCTTTACAAGCTGTATGAAACAACCACGCCAGAGCACCTGCAACCCAGTGAGGAACTGCAAGAGCTACTGCATGGAGCAGCCATCTGTGGGCAGAAAGTCGTACACGTACAACGCCACCGACTTGGACAGGTAGGTCATGGTGCCAAACCGGCCGCTCGGTGCACTGTCATACAGCAGGCTGCAGATGCCTGTTGAAGGATCCCTCTCCAGCATGTGCTCATCAGCGCCCAGGGCTTTCTGGATTTTGGACAGGGAAGCAGAAACACATCATTAGGAAAAAAGGCAATCCCATTATCAGCTTCCATCCCAAGCATTCTCTGTTGCACTCAGAGTGACACACTGATGATGAGGAGTGGGAGGAAGACACTACAGCTTTGCTGTGCCCCATGAACAAAACAGGCAGGGCTCTCCAAGTGGGTGAGCCCTGCACAGGTATGGGGAATGTAGCCAGCAGCCCTGGGTGAGGGCTGGCCCCTACCTGCTCCTCATAGAAGAGGTCATTGGCTATGTGCAAAATCTTTTCCACAGCTATGATGCCACCAATGGTGTGCACTTCCATGTCCACCAGCATGGTGAGCACTAAGATAGCTTCCACCAGCAGCTGCCTGTACTCTGGCTGGGGCACACGGTTGAGGACAGATTCCACATGCACAGCAAACTTCATTTCCCCTGGGGTCATCTGTGAGGAGGAAGAAAGAAGTGTACCTAAAGCACTGTATCACCTGCTCAATTCCTGAGCTATGCTGGGCAATCACCCAGGGTAACCAGCACACAACAACCCATGTGTCCCATTCCCCATTTATGTGAACCTCCTACCTCTCTGGTTGTTGAGGAGGGAAGAACAAAGCCCTCCACAGAGAGACCATGGCACTGCAGAACAAGAAGGAGAGATCACGGTTATGGCTTGGAGAAGCATCATGCTAAGGTACATAGGTCCAGCCCACAAACTTGCTCCTACTTGAGCACTGGTGCGTGTTGCCCATACACCCCAGCTCCGCCTCCTGACTCCATATAGCATCACTCCTTTTCCATCAGTTCAGCATCAGCCAGAGCCCCCTGCATGGGGCTCTGCTCCCTGGCTCACCATGCTGAGGATCGGCTGTGCCCAGAGCACCTTCAGCTGTGGCTCCAGCCATGCATTTGTCTGCTTGATGCATAAAGCACCTGAGCATCTCCCCTCTGCAAGGTACAGGCTGAGGCATGCCCTACAAGACTACAAGGCAAGTGCATGTCCTCTACAGCTTTCCAAGGTCAGCTGTAGGCCCTGTCTCTGAAGCATATATCTACACAACATCAGGGACCAGCCCTGAGTGCCTAAGTCCCCTTGGCAAGGCTGGTGCCTGGGACCAGAGGCTCACATGCATGTTTAACTCACCTTCTGCAGGACCTTCCAGACCTTCTGGTAGAAGCCCACAGGAACACGGTTAAGGGCCCCATCCAGCCGGCGCCTCCGCTGCCACTGGCCCTGCCGGCTGTCCGTACTGCCCTGGTCTTCTAGCGTCCTTGAAAAGGAGTCCTTCCCCAGCAGCTCTGTGTGCCCAGCAGACTGAGCAGACAAAACAAGAACCACAGAGACTGCTGCAAAGTTAAATATCCCACAGGAACGCAGCCTGCTGCTGCTCAAGAGTTTGCTGTTTGAGGCTCTCCAGCCTCATTCCCAAAACAGAGCTGCTACCCCACCCCCTGCCCCCAGCAAAGCCCACCTTACAGCCCCAGCTCCCTGCAGCACCCCCCAGAGCACAGCTCCTTCCTGCAACCACAAACAAGACAGACCCCACGTGTGCAGCCAACAAACAGAGGTTACCAGAGAGGACCTGAGGGCGGTGTCCCTGGACTGCAAACT